ACACACAGCCTCATTAATCCCACACAAAACACACATTATTGTCCTATCGGCGGCGCAGGTATCCCTGATACGCCTTCTGCAGTTGGGCGTCACTGGGCACCGCTGGTCCCCCCGGGGGCCACCGGTCGGTGATGTGGATGACAACATCCCCATCCCTGTGGGAGTGTGGCAGTGAATATCTTGCGTGGCATGTGGCATGTGGCATGCCAGCAGCCACCATATTATGTCAGCAGCCGTTATTTTGTGCGGCGCTATCATTGCCCGACAAATGGCGACTAATCACAGAGCGCCATAATCTTATCATTTATTTTTAATATATTAAAGATGATTATCATGAATATATTAATTTAATATAATCATCCAGGATTATATAGAATTAATATATTACAATAATTATACTATAGGATTAGAATCCTCTATAATATTATTATATTAAATATTATATATAAAATACAATTTATAATATGATTGGATCATAGTATAATATAATATATTATAATATATAATAAATATTATTTCATCTTATATTATATTATATGCAATAATAGTATATTTATATCCCCAATCATATCATAAATAATTTTTTATGTATATTATTCAATATAATAAAATTATATATATTTCCAATCCTATTTTGTAATCATTCCAATATATTAATTCTATATAATCCTATGTAATTACAAAATAAATAATAAAATTATATGTCATTGTTAAGAATGTGTGATTAAGATATAGGGTTATTAAAATAACAATAATGACAACATTATTCCGATATGATGTCAAATGATAATGATTGTCGTGATGATGGAGTTTTGTCCAATGATTGGCCGCCATCTGAGTGGACGGTCCATCATCATCGGCTGCCTTTTTGTTTTATTTTGCGACGGCCATCTGTCGCAATTAGACAATAATACTGTTATTGTAGTCTATTTATCAGAATATATTTATATAATTCAGCGATATAGGAATATTGACCCACAGTTCAGTGGCCGCCGTCCACTCACCTGTCAACCTCGGCGCGCGTGTCGCCCAGGATCCCCGTCCTGACGCCCTCGTCCCTCAGAGCCTGCATCAGCGGCGGCAGCTCAGCTGCACGGAGCCTGCTGCCCGGCAGCCTCAGCTTCCGGAACCTGGGCACACCTGTCCTGTTTTTGCAGCCTGGGGGAATGACACTGCTACTGCAGTGTCATTTCCCCAGACACACAAACTGCAGTGTCATTCCCCCAACTATACTATGTATAACTATACGATGAATTAATTAATAAAAAAGTTTTTAAGTTTAGTTAGTTTTGAGATTTTTCTATTATTTTACTTTTACTATATCGGCAATCGCTCTAATTTCGTCGGATTGGTCCGAAGTGGTCATATTCGGCACGTGACCAGGTTCTTGTATGAATGGGCTTGCGGCAAAAAATAGTACAAAGAGAGGGTTGCAATGAAACACAGATACATTTCAAATCAAATTGAGAAATTCAAGTTCACATCCTACGTTAACAAAAATCTCTAGTACATGAAAAAGGTAATCTGAACAAAATCATAGTCGAAAATCTATCAGTTAACATCATTAAAAGCATCTAATTTTACCGGAAAAAGCGAGTGATCCGTTGCAATTCCAATGCGTACGACAGTTGCAAACGACCGTAACTTGCGCACACGTTTGCGGCCGTATGTTCAGCGGCCGTACCGCTGCTGTATTCTCGCGTCCTCTTCACAGTTGCTCTTTCTTCATGGCCGTATTTCTCTTGCTACAGTGATGTTTCACGGCCGGTCTAACCGTAGAATTTATGATGCCGTACCTCGGAATAGTGGTGTTCGTCTTCATAGTCGATGATATCGATGATGGCTGTGACCGTACCGCTTCTTCTGATGCGAATAGTGACCATAACGTATTGATGACCGTAGTGAAGATAATTGTTGCTCGGCACTTGAAAACTTGAGTCTTCTTATTGCCGACATTATATTTGTAGAACGTCTCGTGGCCGCTCGCATTGCCTCACGGCCGAGTAGCAGCCGTACCGTTGATGTCGATCGTACTTTGTAGATTTTAGACGCGCTTACAGAAATCGGAGCTGCCTCGATGGGTCTAGGTTTCTTGCAAGTTTCAATGTTCGAAAAAACGGCGAAACCGCTGGCCTCACGGCCGCGGCCGTTACAAAATCCACTGACTGCAGACTTTGCTTACGAGACGGTAAACTCCGTATAACAGAACTTGGCGCCAATTTTAAGGTCCTTTTATACGCAGCCGTCGCGCACCGTTACGCCTATTCCCTCGAAGTGACGCCGCGACAGTTATGAAACCCGCAAGGGTCAACCGTTTGATGCCCTCGACATTCCAAACTATAAACAACCCTCGGTCTCACGGTCTCGAGAACAATAGCACCTTATACAAGCTTTACACAGATTAACCCCAAATTCCTGTAGCCTTCTCAACACTTCACTCTAAATCTCTAACTTCCAATAACTTTCATAACTCAAGTTATGAATTCACCCTCTACTACGTTCTATACAGTATAATTTAATTGAAATCAGAATTACCGACGCTCTAATCTTTTCCATTCAACTTCCCTAAACGAAAAGGCTCGAAATTTTTCTGTCTGGTTGCGATTTTTAAATGTTAAAAGCGAACAGACTTACATTACACTAAATTGAGAAAAATGAAATTATTCGTGACCACCATGCACTCGTACACCTGAATTATTTCTTGACATTCTCAGTAAACAATCATTATTCCAACATACAAGTCGTTAGCCTAATATCTCACGGTCCCTTAATTCCTTCGTACACACATGAAAATGAACATCCTACAAAATATCCACCTAAAACAAGAATTATTCATATCAACTCAATATACGACACAGTTACATTTCCAGTAAATAGTCTTCGCACAAACAAGAATCATCCATACAACTCATACACATTAATATCATTCCTTATTCACCTCTTACATATTTATTACCTTTTACTTTATTAGGGGGAGCGTCTGGGTCCAAAGTTCGAAATTTCGGCATTTCCAGTTTTTAGGCTCATCTTAAAGCTTACTTTCTGACGCATCGAACGGTACTAAAACCATCTCTGTACGTTGATTTATGCGTTCGCGACAGATCTCGTAAGAGGAGGAGGTGTCACGGCCCCTTCAGTAAAGTTAAATCCGCCCCGGCCGGGCACCATAAAGGGGATCGTCTGACGTAAAGCGGCCAATTATGACATTTTCCGGTTCTTATACTCATCTTAAAGCTTACTTTCTGCCGCATCGAACGGTACTAGAAACATCTCTGTACGTTGTTTTTTGCGTTCACGACAGACCCCTTAAGGGGGGAAGGGGGTGGGGAACTTCAGTAATTCCAAAGGGGAAAATTACCTATAAAATGTTCTCTCCACTCGGCTAGAGCTCAGTAACCTCACAGACAGAATGCGGGATGGTGTTCATTTAGTGGCTCCATGCACCGACGACTGACTTTGAAGTGAGTTGACGCTTACTTTCGGTATCTATGCTACGTTACGTGCCTTTACGTGCCGCGCGGCGGGTTTTTGCATCTACTGAAAAGCTGCCAAAGTTGTAAACCTCTCTCACGGCAATCCTATCTCCTACAGTTTGAAGCTACAGCAATGAGACATATACCATTCGATTTGGAAAGGAAAGATCTACAAACTTCACCTAGTCGTTTTTCCAACTTCGTCATAGTTCGGATTTTATTTTGCAAAAAGTGGGGGAGGGCGGGGGTAAAATCGAAAAATTCCGAAAAATATCGGAAAAAATGCTCCCACACCCACATAAATGAGAAATTCAAAAAACCGTCACGTGAAGTTTTTAGATATGGTCTTTACGCATCGAATGATATGTGTCTGGATGTTGTACCTTGAAAATCCTAGGAGGAGATAGATTTCTACCGTACCACCTTTTTTGGCCGTTTTCTAAGAACTTCACGTTTTATTTCATTTTTTTCCGAAAAATTCACATGAACAAACAAGTCTTAGATTTCTGTTTACATAAGTGTACCAAGTTCCAGAGTGATCCGTCTGTAAATAGCCGAGATAAATTTTACCCCAGACGCTCCCCTTAAACCATGTTACTCCGAACATCGGATTTTACAACTCGTTTACCGCAGCACTAATGTACTAAGTGAGTTTCAGCATTTAGTGGTTGCAGCGAGAACAAAGTCTCCTGCGTATCTCTTGTTCAAGAATTCAGACAGGCAGGTTGGTTAACTAAACACAAAGAAAAATAAAAAATTATCCCTACCTATAACATTTCATCAATACGACCAGTGTGCAATTTCTAGAGCCATCACTCGATCAAAAATCATCGCGCCTTATCAACCGCGCATTATCATGTCAAATCTTCGCCTTTTCAACGGCGTCTCATCATTTCAAACTAAGCCATCCTAGCAATGGAGTTCCCTTCCTGACTTGCCTGAAAACCTTCCCTAAACATTTCCATATAATTGAGTTCTCGAATAACTATTCGTCACACATTACGTTATTCATCATCCTATGCAGCAAAATAAATCATCACCTCGGTTTTTAATATCTCAACCGAATCTATCATTTCTACGACATCTCAAAACCACTTAAGTTTTTATGACTCGCTTGTAATCACCTCATTCGAAGCCTTCGTAAGTCACACATCCCACTGTTACATCTCGCGCTGCTGTTACCCGAACTCGTTCTCGCTCATTCAGTTCATTTCGATAATTATTTCTCAGCCAAATTCGTACGCAATTAAATTCTTGTCATCACTGGACTCAACCACATCCGTACCTTGTTATCAATCACTCGGTAGTCTAGCGTATAATTCTAAGTTAAAATGAAAGCGACAACTTCTACACTTACTTACAAGTCAATCAACTGGGCATAAAAATTTTCACAACAAATTTAATCACTATCCTGAATAGTTTTTATAAACATATCAATCATGCGGCATTGAGTTATAAAAAATACCATTTTTTCTGAACTCGATCCGCACAAAATTAGTTCTCCGCTAAAATAATTATCAAAAAATATCTATTTGATAAAAATGTCCGTTTGCGCACATAAATAAAATCACAAAGCGAATATAATTTCAGAAACAGGAAACCGAGCTGTTTACGTATTTGTATGCAATACTAATAAAGAAAAAAAACATAATTCAACTGGCATATAAATCATTGCTGACACTAAAAAAAAGGTTTTGATGAATCGTCAAAAAAGGTTTTGATGAATCGCGACACAAGTAAACAAAATTATGCCCGCCTGACCACCTTAATCTCTAAATTCTTCCTTAATAAGATATTCATGCATCTACAAATTATTTAAATCCCTCTTACACTTATAACTTTTATGAGAACATTCGCATTGAATCATGCTCACTGCACTATACGGTCAATAATTTTTTGGAGACATCACGAATGAAATGATTTTGTTGCCATCTCTATTGCACGAAAAAGAAACAAGTCCTTCTCAAATAATTTCTGGCCCAGTCTCAAGGTCCTAAATTTCACACAGTTGCTAAAATAAATGTTCCGCAGAATTAAAAGTGTCTGCATTAAAAACTGAATTATTCTATAAATCCAAACCTCTCAATGTATTTAGCCGTAAAACCTTCTAAACCGACAAGCCTGACCCACTTGATTAATAAAAAAGTTTTTAAGTTAATTTAGTTTTGAGATTTTTCTATTATTATACTTTTATTATATCGGCATTCTCTTTAATTTCGTCGGATTGGTCCGAAGTGGTCATATTCGGCACGTGACAGGTTCTCGTATGAATAGGTTTACGGCAAAAAAATAGTACAAAGTACATGAAAAAGGTATTATGAAATCTCTAGTACATGAAAAAGGTAAAATGAACAATCTCAAAGTCCAAAATATATCAGTTAACATCATTAAAATCATCTAATTTTACCAGAAAAACGTTGACCCGTTGCAGTTCCAATGCATACGACAGTTGCAAACGACCGTAACTTGCGCTCACGTTTGCGGCCGTATGTTCAGCGGCCGTACCGCTGCTGTATTCTCGCGTCCTCATCACAGTTGCTCTTTCTTCATGGCCGTATTTCCCTCGCTACAGTGATGTTTCACGGCCGGTCTAACCGTAGAATTTATTATGCCGTACCTCGGAATAGTGGTGTTCGTCTTCATAGTCGATGATATCGATGATGGCTGTGACCGTACCGCTTCTTCTGATGCGAATAGTTACCATATCGTATTGATGACCGTACTGTAGATAATTGTTGCTCGGTGCTTGAAAACTTGAGTCTTCTTATTGCCGATATTATATTTTAGAACGTCTCGTGGCCGCTCGCATTGCCTCACGGCCGAGTAGCAGCCGTACCGTTGATGTCGATCGTAATTGTAGATTTTAGACGCGCTTACAGAAATCGGAGCTGCCTCGATGGGTCTAGGTTTCTTGCAAGTTTCAATGTTCGAAAAAACGGCGAAACCGCTGGCCTCACGGCCGCGGCCGTTACAAAATCCACTGACTGCAGACTTTGCTTACGAGACGGTAAACTCCGTATAACAGAACTTGGCGCCAATTTTAAGGTCCTTTTATACGCAGCCGTCGCGCACCGTTACGCCTATTCCCTCGAAGTGACGCCGCGACAGTTATGAAACCCGCAAGGGTCAACCGTTTGATGCCCTCGACATTCCAAACTATAAACAACCCTCGGTCTCACGGTCTCGAGAACAATAGCACCTTATACAAGCTTTACACAGATTAACCCCAAATTTTCCAATAACTTTCATAACTCAAGTTATGAATTCACCCTCTACTACGTTCTATACAGTATAATTTAATTGAAATCAGAATTACCGACGCTCTAATTAGAATAAATATACGATGTATAACTATACGAAGTTTAACTTTACTATTTATTACTACATGATATATAACTACACGATGTATGCCTCTACGATGTATAATTATACGATGCATAACTATATGTAGGATAACGGAACAATGTATGACTATACGATGTATAACAAATTGAACTCTATTTTCCCCCGCGGGGGTCGGGGGCTACGCACCTCTTGTCAGGGGGGGCGAGGGAAGTGATGGTGTGGGCCACGGCCCCCCAGGACACCTCATCCGCCCCCTCCACGCACAGCAGGGGAGAGGGGGGCAGAGGCCACGCGGGGGAAGAGGGGCCAGGGGGCGGGATGGGGCGCGTGTACACCCCTGCGCACGTCAAATAAGATAACAATGAGGATAACAGTGATGCAAGAAATAGGGATGCAAGATAACAGTGATAAAAGATAACAGTGATGCAAGATAATTGTGATGCAAGATAACAGTGATGCAAGATAACAGTGATGCAAGTTAACAGTGATGAAAAATAACAGTGATGTCCGATAACAGTGATACAAGATAGCTGCAAGATAACAGTGATGCAAGATAACAGTGATGCAAGGTAGCAGTGATGCAAGATACTAGTGATGCAAGATAACAGTGATGCAAGATAGCAGTGATGCAAGATAGCAGTGATGCAAGATAACAGTGATGCAAGATAACAGTGATGCAAGATAACAGTCATGCAAGATAACAGTCATGCAAGATAACAGTCATGCAAGATAACAGTGATGCATGATAATAGTGATGCAAGATAACAGCGATGCAAGATAGCAGTGATGCAAGATAACAGTGATGCAAGATAATAGCGATGCATGATAACAATGATGCAGGATAACAGTTTAAACATGTTATACCAAAGTACATATAAACATAATATGATGTACATATACATAAAATTATATGCATTATAACAACATATAATATTCATGAATATTATACTATTTACATATATCATTTATATGATATCAAATAATTCAATAATGTGGGTATAATCTATACCCACTATAATCTATTGTGTGGGTATCATTTATATGATGCCCACGTAATAGATTATAGCCGCGTTATTACTCGTTGCTTGATGCTAATAAGTTGATTAATTAATTAATTTGTTGATATATTTGTGTGATTATTTATTATTTGGCGATTATCCCAGTGAACAATCACCACACATAACAATAAATAACGACTATACAATATATAATTGTACGGCGCCTACGGGCTCAGGGGCGCCGCCCGCCGTGCTGGGCAAGACTCACTGAGGTCCCCGTATTTCCCCCTGAGGGTGCTGAGGTCCAGAGGCGCCGCCATGCGGATGTCGAGGCGAGCGCCGCGGGCCACGGCGGCGAGGGCGGCGACCCCAGCGGAGGTGCCCACGCAGCCGCTGAACCATTCCAGCCTCACCCTGTCCCACAGGAGGATGAGGGGAGGCATGGATATAATTCCCACAGTTCAGAGGGATGAATAATGCGTGATGGTGAGGCATGAATATTATGCCCCCAGTACGAGGGCATGGTGAGGCATGAATATAATGCCCTCAGTGCGAGTGCATGGTGAGGCATGAATATAATGCCCTCAGTGCGAGGGCATGGTGAGGCATGAATATAATGCCCTCAGTGCGAGGGCATGGTGAGGCATGAATATAATGCCCTCAGTGCGAGGGCATGGTTAGCCATGAATATAATGCCCTCAGTTCAGAGGGCATGGTGAGCCATGAATATAAACCCCTCAGTTCAGAGAAATGTGGGTGTGCCCCTCATGACATTCGCCAAGAAGTTCCCCCCACGCTTCTTCCCTCTGCCCTCTCCCGCATTCCTACTGTCGCCCTGAGGGTTGAACCCGAGAACCCCGACGGCATCACCTGAACATGCAGGTTCATACATGCACCTGCAGGTTCTTGCATGCACCTGCAGGTTCCTACTATCAGCTGCAGGGTTGTCATGTGCACCTGTAGTGTTAAAACCTGCACCTGCAGGATCATTTCCTTCCCCTGCTGGGTTCTTATCTGCACCTGCAGGTTCTTACCTGCACCTACAGGTTTTTACCAGCAGATGCAGGGTTCTTACCAGCAGCTACAGGGTTCTTACGTGCACCTGTTGCTTTCCAGCCTGCACCCACAGGTTCTTACGTGCGCCTGCAGATTCTAACCTGCAGTACCGACAGTTTCTTACCCGCTGTTGTGCAGCGGCAGGAGGAGGTCGTCGTGGGGGTCGTAGCGGTCAGGGCTGGACAGCTCAATCCTGACCCCAACGTCCCTCGCCGCGGCGACGAAAGCCTTCCACAGCACTCCTCTCAGGGCCGCGGCCTCCATGTTCACATCCACCGAATATATTTGAGCGTATCGAGGGTGGCGGGCGTGGCGGAGCATGGTGGCTACAGCGGCCACATGGCGGGCTGCGGGAGTACATTGTATTCTATTATACTGTTCTGTACTGTGTTGTATTACACTGTATTGTATTATATTGCACTGTATGGGATTGTATTGTACCATAGTTTTGAGAGATGATGTTCATAAACATCCTACATGGATGCTTCGTTAAATCATCGCTGCGTAAGATCGAAAGTATTTAAAATTTTTACTTTAATTCAATAAATCCAGTGTTTTCATTTGGTCAGAACTTCGCTAGGCTTTCACCCGCGACAATCAGCGTTAGTCGGTGTCTGACTAACTAAACTGTCGCAGCGTCAGCGGATCCCTCGCCACACCCAACACGTGACCACCCAACTCGAGTGCACGTCACCCACCGTTCCTGACGAGCCACCTCTTCTGGTCTCCCACCAAGGCCACGAGCTCAGCCACCGCTCCCACTGGACGGTAGTGTGTGACGCAGTCCATCACATCCTCGGCGGTGACGCTGGCGTCCTGTAGCGCCTCTTTCAGCTCCCCCCACCGCCGTGTGAGGTGGCGGGGGCTGTCCCTGCGTAGCGCCACCACCACGTACAGCAGCACCTCCCCCAGCCTGGGGTATTACAAGTGGGTGGGTATTCATAGGGAGCGTCAAGCCTGTACGTCGCCTGCAGCTTGTGAAATGTTTTGGTTTCTTGCTTGTATAAAGTTAAAAAATGTCTGTTTCTGTTTGTATTTATCGTGCTTTCCCCAAATTGTGCTTGCAGCTCATGCCAACAGAGCGGCATCCAGCTCATGCTAAGCAGGAGAGTGAATCCAATTGTAAGTAGTAGGGTAACTACAATAGTAAGTAGGAGGGTAAATACAATAGTAAGTAGGAGAGTAAACACAATAGTAAGTAGGAGGGTAAATACAATAGTAAGTAGCAAAGTAAACACAATAGTAAGTAGGAGGGTAAACATAATAGTGGGTAGTAGGGTGAATACAATAGTAAGTAGGAGGATAAATACAATAGTAAGTAGGAGGGAAAATACTATAGTAAGTAGGAAGTTAAATACAATAGTAAGCAGGAGGGTAAATACAATAGTAAGTAGGAGAGTAAACACAATAGTAAGTAGGAGGGTAAATACAATAGTAAGTAGGAGAGTAAACACAATAGTAAGTAGGAGGGTAAATACAATAGTAAGTAGGAGATTAAACACAATAGTAAGTAGGAGGGTAAATACAATAGTAAGTAGGAGGGTGAATACAATAGGAAGTAGGAGGATAAATACAATAGTAAGTAGGAAAGTAAACACAATAGTAAGTAGGAGGGTGAATACAATAGGGAGTAGGAGGATAAATACAATATTAAGTAGGAGGGAAAATACAATAGCAAGAAAGAGGGTAANATTTCGTATCTACTTCAGGCTACGGTGTGTTGTCTGTCTCTTATACACATCTACAATAGTAAGTAGGATGGTAAATACAATAGTAAGTAGGAAGATAAATACAATAATTAGTATGATGGTAAATACAATAGTAAGTAGGAGGGTAAATACAATAGTAAGTAGGAGGGTAAATATAATAGTAAGTAGGAAGGTAAGTACAATAGTAAGTAGAGGGTAAATACAATAGTAAGTAGGAAGGTAAATAATTAATTACAGTAGTAAGTAGGATGGTAAATACAATAGTAAGCAGGAGGTGTAGGAGCAGCAGTGTGGCGTGGGGGGAGTGGTTAGTAAGTGGGGCGGTTGGGGGAGGCCCAGTGAAGGAGGGGGAGAAGCACATTATATGAAGCGGGATAACTGATAACATAATTTTAAACTCGGCAACACGCAGAGGTGTTAAAAACACGGAGAGGTGTTTAAATAAATATAAGACGTATAAATCAATACGAGTTTGACATATTCGTCCAAGAGACTCAGCGGATGTCATCAACTTGATGCTTTTTGCCTCACACTCTGCGGTTATTGAAATATCTAAAAGGCTAGTATTGAGAACCGCGAGGCTTCGCACAGGCTCGGTTCTTCACTATGAGTTTCTCTACAAATTAGGCTGGACTTTACTCCACTCGTAAATGATATTGCGATATGAATTTTCCCATGCTTACCCAGCCATTTATTTACAAACGGTGGACAGTAATAAGAAATATATAAACTTTTTCATTAGACGAGTTTTGATGAAGGAAATTTCAAGAGAGTTTCAAGATTAATGTTCATGAAGTCTGCGAGTTTAACACTTTGTCGAGATGTCAAAGAGTTATAATTTTTATTCTCCACTAAATAGGATACCCGGAATTTCTTGTTCAGCCTCCTTGCCGTAAATATTACCAGCCAACAACTAGTTATGAACGAGCATGCTTATACTTGAAGTGAAAATCCCGTGTATTAGCTGTTTCGATGGAGGCGTTGTGGAAGGTATGAGGGGAAAGAGACGTTTTAAATTACTGAGCTGTCATTCCACGACGGGCAGAACGGTGAAGGCGAACTCAATGAGGGGCGAGGAATAATACGTGGCCAGTTTTCGGCCTAGTCCAATAGTTATAACTGACCGCTGGCCATTCTTCGGCCATCTGAAAGCCACCCGTTACCGCAGAAAATTGGGTTGGCTAGGACCTCGTGTTACAAAAACTACAAGCTCGAGGATAGCGACTGACCGAGCTTAGGACCGATCGAGGATTTCACCAAGTGGTCGTTCATACCTCGCTCTCAGACTTCGCCGCACTATGGCTACCAGCCTTAAGGCTGGTAGTCAGAGTGCAGCGAAGTCTGAGAGCGAGGTATTCACGACCATCATGTGAAATCCTTGATCTGCCCGAAGCTTGGCCAGTCGCTACCCTCGAGCTTGTACGCTTTGTAAGATGATTTCCTGGACGCCAGGGGTCGGCCAGAACTAATTGGACTAGGCCGACCGCGGGCCACGTATTATTCATCGCCTCTCATTGAGTTCGCCTTCACCATGACGCCCGTCGTGAACTGACAGCTCAGTAATTTAAGACGTCTCCTTCCCCTCATACCTTCCACAGCGCCTGCATTTGAGCAGTTAGTATACAGGATTTTCCCATCACGTATCAGCATGTTCGATCACAACTATTTTCTGGTGGATAATATCTACAATAAGGAGGCTGATCAAGAAATTCCGAGTATACCATTCAATGTAGAATAAAAATCACAACCCGTTGACATCTCGAAAAAAGTATAAAAGTCGCTGACTTGATGAACATTATTTTTCAAAGTTTCTTGAAATTTCCTTTCATCATAACTCTTTTAATATAAAGTTTACATGTTTTTTGTACCTGTCAATTGTTTATAAATAAATAAATGGGTAAGCAAGGAATAATCCATATCGCCATCTCATTTACGAGTGGAGTAAAGTCTATCCTAATTTGTGAAGAAGCTCATAGGGAAGAGCCAAGCCTGTTCGAAGCCAGACGATTCTCAATCAGAGCCTTAAATCGCTGGCGTTGCGAGGTCAGCAACACAGATCAGTTAGGTTAGTTATGCCAAGACACATGTCATGTACTGCTCACCACACATGGCTGAGAGCTTTTTGCTGCTCACCGCTCATGGCTGAGAGCTTTGCACCGCTCACTGCTCATGGCTGGGAACAGTATGCAGCTCACTGCTCATGGCTGAGAACATTATGCAGCTCACTGCTCATGGCTAGGAAAAGTATGCAGCTCAGTGTTCATGGCTGGGAGCAGTATGCAGCTCACTACTCATGGCAGGGGACATTATGCAGCTCACTGCTCTTGGCTGGGAACAGTATGCAGCTCACTGCTCTTGGCTGGGAACAGTATGCAGCTCAGTGCTTTTGGCTGGGAACAGTATGCAGCTCGCTGCTCTTGGCTGGGAACAATATGCAGCTCACTGCTCTGGGCTGGGAACAGTTTGCAGCTCACTGCTCTTGGCTGGGAACAGTATGCAGCTCACTGCTCTTGGTTGGGAACAGTATGCAGCTCACTGCTCTTGGCTGTGAACAGTATGCAGCTCACTGCTCCTGGCTGGGAACTTTATACTACATATGTTAAGTGCGTGCTTGTAGAGCAGGTTATTTGTCGGATATACTCACCTACTCATTTTCTCCTTAGGGACTCCCAGGATGCTGTAAAGGGGGTCGGCGCTCCCCCCAATGATGCGCTGAATGATGTAATGACCAGCGAACATTTCCTGCTCACTCTTGTGCTTGAATTCATAGCGTGAACCCTTGTTCAAACCTATAGGTTTGTGCTCTGTTAGCACCACTGAGAGTACAACTGCAGGATCGACCTTATTATTACCCTTCGGTAAAACCTGGCACTTCTCTTTGATGCCAATCAGCTCTGCCTCCGGCAAAATCGAGACGTTGTCGCTGAGCAGATCCAGAGCTGCCGCACCGACGACCGCAAACAAACTGTTAAGCAGAACGTCCAAGTCCTCATCAATAAAATCTGCAAGTTTGGTACGGGCGAGTTCCCTGTACAGGCGCAGCTTGTGAGGCGCTATGTCCTTGGGCGTCTGCCACGAGGATATTACCTCAGGAAAGTGCTTATACATCTCACAGAAATGAACCAAGTTGATGGGTTCACAGAATTGACTTCTGACATCTTCATTCATCGACTCGAAGCTCCTCGTCATCTCACCAGTTGGAGTGCCGTCACTATAAGATTTTTCATACCGCCGCAAAAATTCAAGTTGGTCGGCAAGCTTCGTGAGCGGCAGGATCTCATACTGAGTAAAGCTGACATCGTAGTTCTTAAGCAGCGGCACCAATTTCTTCATCACGGCATGAGGACGAGTCGTGATCAATACACGACAGTTGCTGCCCCAAATCATTTCGAAAATCTCAATTACGACGTTTTTAGAAACGTTGTTTACTTCATCGAAGCCATCGATGATGAATAAGACATCGAGACGCAGGAGAGCAAGTAGAACATTTTCTTTCCCCAGTTCAATGCACAGGTCTTTGTAGTGCTGCAGGATGACGTCATTCAGTGTTAGTGAGGTGCGATCCATGCACTCGTAGAAGATGAGTTGGTTAAACGACCTGAAGTAATCAGCGGCTCCTTGCTCCGAAATGAAAAACTGCAGTACGATGTTTTTGACGAGGGTTGTTTTGCCGGAGCCTGCGACGCCCGTTACCACCATAACCTTCTCATAAGCTTCAAATATTTTTGTGTAGGAAAAAATTTTCCCTCTGCCGGTTTCTTGCATATTCACGTCGAGGGCGTGGAACACGGCCTGACGTCGGACCTTATCCTCGTCCATCGAAAAATTTTCATATGCAAGCTTGGCCTTCCATAGAAGTCTTACGGCCTTTTTTCCGCTAAATACCAACCTCGTACACCCGTAATAAATGCTTTGGCTGTCCATTGTCTTCGCTTTTTCGATTTCGTTGTTGAGGTTTTGTACCTCGGCATCAACATCCGCCTGGGGAAGAGCATAGAACCTCCCCGATTCCTGCACCAGCTCCACCAGCGCTTTTGTCAACTCAGTGAATCTCTGCGCGTCAGCTGCGTTGTGCAAATTGCGCATGATGGCATTGCGCAGATCCTTGACGGCGCGCAACTTGGCCAGCAGCACTGCAGGATCCCTAGCGGTGCCCCCGTAGCCAAGATCAAAAAGTTTTGGGAGGAGAGAGAAGAGCACTGTGACATCTAGCTCGTCGGGATGATATGAAGTTTCTAAAATTTTTGATGAGAATCTCGTTAGTTTGTTCCACTCTGTCTTGCTGTAAGCTCTTCCAAGCTTTCGCTCCATCAGATGCCTGTAGGTCTCGTTGCTTTGTTTGTCGTCACACTCCTTGTCCAGCATGGACCGCATGATACTGGGGATCAGGTCCAAGTTAACGACAATGTTGCGGTAAATTCGAACAACTACGTCACCCGAAGAAATGGGTACTACAGCGCCAGGGTCGATAACTGGGCATGTGCCGGCCATCTTGCAGGATCTGTTGAAGCGAGTAATCAAATTCAAATATCAATTTGAGGTTAAAATAAATATTTAGCAATATGACTTAGTGACATGGGCTCTAAATTGACAGAAAACGACAAGCCTGTCTAAAATTCAAATGCCTGACTTCACCTCTAAATTTCAATTCCGGCCAATTTTTACTTCCAGAGCTTGGCTAATTCCTTTACATTTATTTTGAATTCTAACGACTAACCATTTTCCTGTTGGGAAATAATATTTAAACTTTGTTGACTGCTTGAAAGATTGTACCAATGTTCAGCACCCGCTGAACATGGCTTCGTTTGACGTGAAAAATTTATTCACTGATATTCCTCATACGGAAACTTTTAAATATTTGTCTCGACGTTTTGTTTAAGTATGTGAATGACCTGGTTATTGGTCTTAGCCACAGAATTTTCAAAAAGCCTCTGGAATTATCGGTTATGAACTCCATTTTTCGCATTTGCTAGAAAGTTTCACAAATAAGTTTATGGCATAGGAAAAGAATAGCCCATTCATCCTATGTTCCCTAAAATTTTCGGCTGCTTTCGCGAGGTTTCTTGATTGATGATTGCACCGTTGTTTTAAGCTGATTTTTTAAAATATGTAATGATGACATCATTCTGATCTTCAAGCATCCATCTCATGCTAGCATCTTTTTTACTATCTCAACCTGAAATATTCATCGTTAAATTTGATATGAAGATGGAAATCAACAATAGTTCATCGTTTCTCGATTACCCTTACCAAAATTAAGGCATGATAAAGAGTCTGCGAGAGGCTCGCTATGGTTGTGGTAAGGTTATTCTGGGTCAGCTCTGCAACTCGACCGTGATCAGCGACTAGTCAGAGTGGCCTTGCAGACTTTATGGTCTCCTGAGAGTGGGGCATGAGTGGGCTTGGCCGAACATAGCATGCCTAATAACCGCCCAGAAGCTGCCCTCCAAGCCCGCAGCGGAAGGCAGTGGGCAGAATCCTGCCGGAGGTGCTTGGGCGAGTTTGTCTGCACCTGTAAAACTAAATGTATGCATATATTTATATGTCGTGCCAAAATCGCGTAATGGCCGATTTCATGGAATCGGCAGCCAGTTGTCGAATCTGTACTATCAGCATTTCTATACTATAGGAATCTAGGGGTTAGGTCAGTCAGTCAAGTTATTTTTTTAATATTTATATATGAAGGAACTTGACCGAACTTGATCGAACCTTTTCTAACTCTAACAGTCGATTTATGTTCTAACTAAAAATCTAACGTCCGATTTTCGGAATCAGCAACAAAATGTTGAATTCTACAGATTCAGCAACTGACTGACGATTCCAAGGAGTGGGCAATTCCGCGATTTCTGCACGACATATATTTTAAAATCCAGTCTCAAGCGGCGCCCGTTCGCGTGTATCCGTGCGTGCGTACGTACGTGTTTGTTTTGCTTTCCGTCAACATTCGTTTTCGATTTCTTAAATTTACGATTTAAACAATCACATTAACTTCATATTTGAATTTCTTTCTTTTTAATACTCTAATGTAAGAGAATCAAGTTAAAGTTCAATTCGGATTTTATTAATGGTGTATCAATGGTACTATTATGTTGGCGTGTGGCAATTTTATATCATTGCCAGGTAAGTATATCGTGTTAAGCAAGGAACATTATGATGTCTTCTCTTCGGTAGAAAACAAGGTTTCTCAACTATTACTAGAATTTGAAACAAGAACCAACACCAGTGGGCAACAGCTAGAAACTAAATAAACTGCGTTGCAACTAATCGACGCGACAAAACTTCTCGCTTCGAGTCACAGGTACGTTGGTTGGTTGGTTGCGGGTTGTAAGTGAAGGGGAAGCACGTTGACCGCTTGTAACACCTGGACTCAGCAATGGCTATTTAGTTTAAGTCTTCATCATGTTTCTCTCAATTTCATATTCTTCTTTGCTGGTATCAGCTCTCCGTTTTATCAACAATTTTCTTGTTTAGGGCAAATCACTGTTTTATCCAGTGCACTTCACCAGCTACATGGTAGATAATCGACCTGTTTGCGTGAGATATGTGGTGGTTGCTCTCACTATATAGTGCTGAATTCTTCTGGGATAATTTCCTACGCCAAGGAGCACACGCACAGATATGAGAGTGATTCCCAGGGCATGTATACCTAATATCATAACCTGTCTCTCACGATCGTATAGTGTACATGAAAGGTGCAGGCACAACCCCACAGTGCATTCAACTCCACAGTGCAGGCACATGGGAGTGTCAGCCATGCCAAATCGATGACGATATGAACGAACCCCAACGTGGCCAAGACGAAGGCGGGTTAAAACCACTGTTGCACGACGAGAACGGCAAGCAACCCATGGGACAGGAGACATCTCGGACCGAATGGAAGCTAGATGATTGCCCTTACCATCAGTAGCCTGCATCAGCACGCTCATTACCAATAATGCCAGTGTGAGCTTTGACCCACTGTAGATGCACAATCTTTGAGTCATTTAGCTGTACACTGAGAGAAAAATGCCTCCTGTTTTTAAACACCTCTGGGTGTTTCAAGTCCTCCCCGAGCGATCGTACCCAAACCGAGACACCCAGCTGTTTAAAAAACGTTCAGGTATTTTAAAATTTGCGATTTTGAAACACCTAGGTGTTTCAACGTTAGAACACCAAAAGTTTACGGGGAATAAAACCTTTTTTTCTGAATCTCTGCAGTATCCTTGTCCATTTTTCAGCGCTTGATGAAATTATTTTAACATATTCTACTCCTCCGGTCGATCCCAGTCTAATCCATGGCCGACTCCCTACCAAAATTATGAAAACTATATTTCTCCGTTTCTTTCTGATTTCACCGTTTTCTCCTTCACAGCGAAATAAGTCACATATTCGTTCTTTTTTACACATATTTATTACACAATTTATATCGGTATGTACAATCATCATGAAACTACACTCTTTGCTCTCACCTCTATCGAACTCAGGTTGAAGAACCTCTGCCAAGACTGCAACCAAACGCTCGCGAGCAGGCGCCTTAGTCCACTCAGCTACGGAGACGGCAACTACATAGAGTTGCAGTGTTTGTTTTGTCTTGCGCACGGTACTACCAGAATAAATCTTCGATTTTATGATCATTTCTTTTGTGATTTAATGGTATAGACGTCGCTATACCATTGAATGCGTTAACATTACTATTGACAAAAGAACAGCAGTGAGTTTAAACAATTAACCGAATTGAGTTAGGCCAATTAACCGTAAGCAGTGTAGATTCGTGGCATTCATGAGCGGCGGCTCCACACAACAACCTCCTATGACAGAATTCAGCGCACTGATCACCGATGCTAGCCGCACAAATATAAGCGCGTCAAGCTCGGGAGGCTTTGAAAAACCAAGTGTTTTAAAACGGGGGGCCTTTTCCTCTCAGTGTATGAGTAGCTCGCGTATGCCATAGACCAGATCAGAGCAAGTATTGGTGGGAGATAGCAAAAGTTGCAAAGCTACAAGAAAGTCAGAACATATAACCCATTGAAGGAAGGAGTCGGCTTCAATAAGTCGCAAGGCCTACAAAATTGCAATTAGTCACCGGTATGTCGAACATAAACGTGTCACCGCTCTGTGTATGAACGCGTTCAAGAGCAGACTAGATAAAGCTATGGAGAAATATATAGTCAGAATTGAAATGCTTAGCACCATATCGAACTTGGTGGAAGTCTAAAGAGCTATTTCAATCTATATTTCAATCTTCTGTGAATCTCAAGCTATTTCAATCTCTTGTGAATAAGTCACAAAAATTACAAGAATTGGCGACAGGTCTCATTACACCTATTCTTCAGTGTCGACATCACTATGATATGATATGTAAGAAAATATCTTCTGGAATTCCCCCGCATACCACAGTTTGGGAACCACTATTTAAAAAATTTGCTTTTTGAAAAGCTAAGGAAAAATCGCGATTATCTACAGTTTTCCCGATTAATGGAATTACCTGCAAAATTGACAGCAACGAAAAACTAGAGTTGAAGATATGTATAGCTCATTAATACCTGGTAGGTATTTAATTTTAAGTGTTTATTTTTATAAACTATAGTATTTATTTAAGAAACTAAATAATTATCTTCTGCATAGTCAAGAAAGGAAAATTTTATTTACTGTCCATAGCCGTTATCAGATAGTTTAAAAAATCAAGGGGAGAACACGCGTCGTCGTTGCGTGCTGCGAGAGGCTCAGGCTACACATCGCTTTGACCCGCGTTCGAGACTTGGGAGCAGCGGCCGTTCTATTTATGGTGAGCTAAGGGTAATTTAATCTTATATTAACCCTTCACTGCTTACCGATATCGATTACACTGCTATACTGGGTATGTTGGCAATTGTATGTTCTCATGGCAGTAAATGCTTACCAATAATAGAGCTTAACCATATAATATATCAGTAACAATATACCAATAAATGCTTAAGAATACAATAGAGTGGAAAGCCGTTATCAGCTAATTCAACACAAGCGAAAATTAATAACATAATGGTTTAACTTTTCGTCCATTTTCCAATGCTTTGGTAAATTTTGATGTGGCAGCGTTCCTCATAGCAGAGAATACGCAACACTGATGA